CTTTGGGAGCGCTGGTGAAATCTGTTCAATGTCGTAGTAACACACAAGCCTCCATGGACGGGCGGGTAGGGACTGTGCATTAGGTACATTGACGGCAATCAGACCCAGGTCTCCTGCGTAGAAGGCAGACATTCTACAAGTGAACCTGCACTGCTGCATCAGCAGGGATTATAGCACAGCCAAGCCCAGCCCTCTCCCTGGCTCGAAGAAGAAGTCATCATCCACTGTGCAGCCAGGCCTGCTTTATTTGCATGCTCACCCACTCCTCCCCCTGCTTGTTTGTTTAGGCTCTTTTACATCTCCAAAGCAATCCCACTGGGGAAATGGGTTGTTATGGGAAGGAGGCAGGATTCGTGTGGGGTGTGTTTTGAGTCAATCTCTTTGGAGATATAAAAGAGATGAAACCATGGAGCGAACAGAAGGAAGATGAATGCCAAGTCACACGGAGATCCCCAGGGAACAGAAAACAAGCAAAGAGACAAGACCCTTCGTCCAGAGCTGACCCAAAGACAAAATCTTCTCCTAGAGCTCATGCCCTGGATTCCACTTCTAGTCCCCCAAACTCTGAGAAAGTAAATCTGTTTGTTAAACCCATTCATTGTGGTATTTCTGTTATAGCAGCGCTAGGTAACTAAGACATGTAATATCGTATCATTTTCTCTATCAGTATTTGTCCTGCTTTTAACAATGTACTCAATGTACAAATGCCTTTCACTGTCTCATACATATTTGGTTGTTTTACAGTGGGCTTGTTCAAATCAGGATTCAAACAAGGCCCACAAATTGAATTTATGTGAGAAGTCTCTGAAGAATCTTTAAATCTATAGAGTTTACCACATTCTGAAGTCTGCTGGCTGCAATTTGGTATGATTTTCTGAGCCTTTATTTCCTTTAAAATGATATGAATAATAAACTCACTGGCATGGAGTTGATGCTGACTCGTAGCTGCCCTGTGGGGCAGGGTAGAACTGCCCCTGTAGGTTTCTGAGACTCTAACTGTTCATGAGAACAGAAAGCTTCATCTTTCTCCCAAGGGGCAGCTGTGGATTCGAACTGTTTACCTTGCAGTCAGCAGCCCAGCATGTAATCACGACAGCACTAGGGCTCCTGGGGATGGGGCCATGAATCTAAGTCCCTTGAGCTTGTTTCAGTTCTGACTCACAGCAACCCCACTGGTGACAGAGAAGAACTGAGCTCCGGAGTTTTCTGGCTGGACTCGTCATGGAAGCACATGTCCAGGGCTTTCTTCCCAGTGCTGCTGGGTGGGTTTGAGCCGCAACCTTCCACTGTAGCCAAGGACAAACTGCTTGATCTAGTCAGACCGAGAGGCCTGCTATGGTGGCAAGAATCCTGCTGAGTGTTCCTGCATCCCGTCAAGGGGCAGACAATGCCTGGTGTCTCTCTTATAAAGTCCAGACGGTTGAGTGATGAAGGAGACAGAAGATATGGGTGCTATGGCAAACTGTGGTGAAGGACCTAGATGGTGGGGAGATTCGCGGAGCAAACAATGAATGCGGGCAGGGAGCATTGGAGCTGATTGTGGTGATGTATATACACTCTTTTATAAACGCGATTTAACTATGGAAGCATGTGATATGTGAATCTTATGTGAAGAAAACTACTAAAACAAAAACAAGAAAGAACCCAGACTTGACCAATGGTTACGGGGGGTGGGGGGGGGGGGGGGTGTTGTTTAGGGGCAGTGAGTGTATTTTAATGGTGGTGGAATGATTTGAAGAAGGGCATCAGTAATGGTTGGACAACAAGAAGAGGATGATCAATGGCACTGAATTATACATGCAGAAGTTGTCGAACTGGAGAATGTTTTGCTATGTATGTTTTGGCCATAATGAAAATGATAATTACACAAATAACAATGAATACAAAGAAGAAGAAAATGTTCTAAAATTGATTATGGTAATGATTGTATGGTTCTTCTTGATTATTGAATTGTATGACATGTGGAAGAAATGCCAATAAAACTGTTTAAAAAAAAAAAGAAATTAAATGCTGCCCAGTTCTCAGATAGCATAGCGTTTGGGTCTTAAAGGCTTGTTTCCAAACAGGCAGCCATCTAAGTGAGACCTCAACTACGTCCACATGGAAGAAGCACACCAGCATCCGTGACCGAAGGACTGTACATTATGTAATCCAAATCTGAAGGAAGGAATGGTATCAGAGCTTAAATTGTGAGATTCTGGTTTGCAGAAAGCAACGGATGGCAGTGGAACCCCAAAATACATTTTCAGGATCCACACAGGAAATAATCCTCATAATTGAGGGGTGGGAATAGCCTGGTTACCAGGCAGAGAGTGTGGGAGACGTCACTGGAATAGGCAACAGTGATAAGTCTGACTTGAACTGTTAAAGCTTTTTGTCACTTGATCTTTGGGTTTGTTCTGGTTTGTAGTATTTTCTGGGGTGGTTTTCCACCGTTTCCTTTAATAATGGGGTTTATCTCTGCTGCATTCTGCCATTGGGGGTAGTAGCCCTTGTGAATCTTTGCTATGTGTTTCCTATGCTTTTCGGGATATGAAACCCAGGAGTGGAGAACTGATAGAGAGGACAGCCAGGCGTGTCACTGGGAGGGACAGTGGGGGGAGACAAGGGGGTGTTGATATCAAGGAGTTCAAGAAAGAAGAAAATGTTTTGACACTGATTTTGGTAGCAATTGGACACTAGCACTTGATAGGATTGACCTGTGGAATTGCACGCTGTCTGGATTCGCTCCTGGTGAAAAGGTTCGGGGGAGGGGAGATTGATGAGTGGTTGCCAAGTTGTCGGCCTTGTCCATCACGGCATGTTGCCTTCCGTGTTCTAACTAACGGCTTTCGCAGCCACGGAAGGCCGTTACTGACATCCACCATTTCAACTTCAAAACCTGCTCTTGACCCGTATGTGTCAAAGTAGAGCCGTACCACCCCAGTCGCAGAAGAAGGGATTAGGAAACCGTGATTGTTCTAACTCTGTCCTTCCTTCTACATTTTTGGGCTGCAATTCTTTTATAGAGACTAGCCTTCCTTCATCAACTTCTCGCTCAACGTTCTGAAGGACAGCCCAGACAAGAGAAGTAAGATCAACAACTTGCTTTATTCTGTGGCATTTGCCAGTTTCCAGAATGATGAGACAGTGCCAACTCAAACAGATTTTGCAAGAGAATGAACTCCTCGTTCTGAAAACTGTCAAACAGAGGGGCTACGGAAGTCATTTATCTTTGATGTGTTTAAATTTGCCACTTTTTTAGTGCTCAAATCACATCATTAGCCAGTGGTGTTAACAGGGTAGCCTGAGAGCCTGCAGATTGTCAACTTAACCCCAGTACAATGAGATGTTCTAGAGCCCCACCTTGCACATACACAGCCCCAGCAGTGGCATCTGTCCCATTACTTCCGGGTAGAAGTAAGAGGATTTCATAGTCACATGTGGGAGACTCTACAGGGACTCTTTCGGTCACTGCTTCCCCAGTGCCCATCCTGAGGGAGACAAGGTAGAGAATTCTGCCTTGAGATGCATCCCTGTTCTGCCATTAGAAACTGTTTTAATCTTCCTTCCTTCCATTCTTTTTTTTTTGCTTTTTCAAAATGAAAACATCTTCATTTTTTGTCTTTTTATAAAATACATGAACGTCCTCCAGGAACATAACCCTTAGACCCAAAACAACATCAGGTCAATGGAGACATTAAAGTCGTCCCTGACTTCGTTTTACTTAGAAGCACAGTCAATGTCCGCGGAGGCGAGTCAAGAACTCAAATGCCGCATTGCGCTGGGCAGACTGCTGCTGAAAACTCTGTAACGTGTTAGAAAGCAGAGGTGTCACTTTGAGGACCACGTGGGCCGCATCCGAGCCACGGTGTGTCCATGTGAAAGCGGGAGGGGGCGTGGGGACAGTGAGAAGGCCAGAGAAGCACTGATTTACTTGAAGTCCGCTGGAGGCGAGAATAGAGAATGTGCCGTGGACTGCCAGAAAAACAAACATGTTTGTCTGGGAAGAGAGACACCCGGGCTGCTCCCTATGCGCGAAGTTGAAGAGCCTTTGTCTCGTGTACTTTGGATGTGCTATCAGGAGGGACCCGTTCCTGGGAAAGGGGACAGTGCTGAAGAAAACAGAGCCGGCGAAAAGAGGAGGGCCTTCGATGAGATGGGTTGACCCCGCAGCGGCAGCAATGGGTTCAAAACCAGCAAGGATGGTGGGGTGGTGCTGGTCTGGCAGTGTTGCAGCCTGGGATACAGAGGGTCTATGAGTTAGAACGGACTCCAGCGCTCCTGACAACAACTCCTGGCGTGTGGACTATGGGGCTCTGGGGCCTGAGCTCAGGACCTGAGCGGTGCAGATCTGGAGGGTTGAACATGGAGACGATGAAAGGCTGCAGAAGCCCTGCTTCTAGGAAGTGAAAGCACATGGGGTTCTGCAGCTACTCTGACGAGAGCTCTGCTCTGAGTACGCTGGGTCCCTCCAGGCAGAAGTGCTGCTTTCAGTCTGTATGGGCCAACCCACATAACCTCATTGGTTCCTTGG